GACCTAATTGTTAGTCAGCTTATTTTATACCTAAAAGCACAATATATGATAGAGAAAGTTCGCTCGCTCAATTGTTAGTTTGATTATCTTCTTATACTTAAAAAGAACTACATACAAGAGAGAAAGTTCTCCCGCTCAGTAGTATAATACTTAAAAGCACTACATATGGGAGTGAAAGGAATATATCATGAATTGATTTTAGGTAATTACTCAAAATCTACTAAATTAAGTAACAATAGTGTTTATATTGATAATTCTCCCTATAAATTAATTTAGAGCTCGTTTCGTAACCATGTTTTTTTGGCTTATTAGCTATTTTTTCACCAAATGTTTAACAATCAAAATATGTAAGGTTGAAGTTACTTTTTTTTTTATTGAATTAGCTGAAATTACTATAGACGACCAATTAATTAGTTATATTTTCATACAATTTTTTTTTGTATTTTATTAATAAATAATTTAATATTCTCCATCACCTTATAACAGTTCCTATATAGTTCATAATAAATAATTCAATTTTTTCATCACCGCAAAACATTTAATGCTTTGATGATGATGTTAAATAATATATTGATTATAACATGAATACTAAAGTAAAACATGTAGGATTGAAATTTATACATAGGAGAAAGAAATAATATGAATCACAAACTAATTGATTAAAAAATATTGTGAAGATTTTGAAAAAATTGAAAAAGAAAATATGACAAAATACTAAGGTATAGAGGAGGGAGTATAACTTTTTTGACATAAAACAATCCAAGATTCACTTTTTAATGATACGATATATGATTCCATATAATATAATGTTTTTTTGAAACAATGACACTAATATTACTCCCTAAGTTTCACGTTCCAAAAATATTACTACTTTATATTTTTCCAAAACAGTGACCATTTATTCCCTTGTACGGTGTCGCTCCTCTATGTCTTCTCAATCGAGCATCGAACCAGCAATGCAGACTTTTGAAAAACTTTGAAACCTCCCTCCATCTTCCTTGAAACCATCTCACCACCTCCACAGTCGGCCATTGCAACTCCATCTCCTCCAGGTCATACCGGCTACACCTTCTAGTAGTCTTGTGTGCCGACATCTGACATGGCCGCTCCTGTTGACATCCGATGTCGCCGCCCCTTTCAGCCTCGAAGTCGCCGCCCACTTCTATTCTTCTTCTACTTATTCATTCTTTTTGAATCACGATCGTGCATTAATAACCCGGAGTTACTTACTTGTGAAACCATCTGATGGAGTATATGACCCGGGAACCCCCCCCGGCCCACAGACTCCTACTACACCAATAAAGGCCCAACCGGCCCAAGAAGCACAACAGGCCCAAATTACGGCGCCCCAAGCACTTAGCAGCCCACAGCGCACACTGGGGAGCTTTCGGCCCCCTGGCCGAAGGCTCAAACCTCTCACAGAACGGGTTTTTCAAGCAAACTAATAAACTAGGAGAAAACGGCAAAAAACAGGAGCCCTCGGCACCTAGAGCCCTCGGCACTAGTGTGCCCTCGGCAACAGAGAGCCTTCGGCACTAGTGTGCCCGAAGGCACCTCACTCGACAAGATCTTCCCTCCACGCGCATCTGGGTCACCGTACCAAGTACAACGTCCCATCCAACAACCGCATTAAATGCGGCTACATGCGGTTGCCAGCGCCAACCAGTTGAGGTGACCTCTCGGCCAATGGACGCTTGACACGTGTCCCTGTCCGACATTTATTGCTACTATAAATAGCACCCCATTTCCCCATTTGTAACCACGCTGAAAACGCTCCACACTTTACAATATACTTTCTCTCTCTATACTTACTTGCTCTGACTTCTCTCTTATTATTCCCCGTAATAACCCCTCGGATAAGCTACCCCCCGGGTACACTATCCATCACCATCAATGATTAATCATCGGTTCATTGACTGTTTCAAGTAGTAATTAATGTCAAGATGTAAACTAATTGTCATCTTAGAATAAGGGAAGAATTGATATTCAAGGCAAGAAGTAAGAAAATAACTTAGAACTTTAACATTCAACAAGCTTCAAGAGAAAAACCAAGAGATGAGAGTTTAGCTCCTCATTTGGAAACTAAATAATGCTAGAAAAATATAAATTAAATACTATTCTAAGTTGAGTTTAAGTATATGGAAGAAGGGATATCAAAATGGGAAGAAAAAGAGGTGTATTTATAGGTGTTTTTGTGAGGTTGGGTCTGATACCCGACCGGGTATCTAAGACAGTAGCCACGAAAGTGCTGAGATCTAGTCATACCCGACCGAGTATGTCAATATACCCTGACGGGTATATGACCAAATCTGATTTTCCACTTTCTCTTGCATTATTTGATCTTGTAAATCTCCAGGTCAAGTTATAACTGAGCGGGTATTGAAAATACCCGATTGGGTATGACACCAAATCACATTTTTTGCATGACTTCTTGCTACCTTGCACCTTCCTTTGATTTTGTAAGATCCATTCCACGATCCTTTGTTGATCCTTGATTTTTTCTTGCACAAGATGATCCTAAATTTACTAAATTACAACAAACTAGAAAAATAAAATGATTGCACAGTAAATGTGCAATTACCACAACAACACACCGTAAAAACTAATTAAAAGTAGAAATATAAACACTCAAAAATCAATGCAATCAAGTAGTTTGTTTACACATACAAAAATGTTACACACAAACATTGATTGACGTACTTTTTTTGCAGAAATGTCAGGATGATTGCACGGGAACCAATGTCAATATTTGTATGTAAATCAGGATGATTTACATACAAAAATCAATGCACGGGAATACAATATTTGTTTGTGTACATAAACATTTGTTTCGGCGTAACCTAACCCTGACTTTTTATAACAATTTTTTGTCTGTGTACATAGACACAGAAAGAAAACCAGTGTTTGTATAGGTACATATGTTGTCTATGACAAAATTTTATAAAATATTACTACCTACGCCCCCTAATATTAGGACGGAAGGGAGTGATGTGGTTTTTAAGAAAAATAGAATTATGTAATTAATAATGAGTTGATAAAGTGAAAATAAAATAAGAATGAATTAGAACAAACACAAATGTTATCAAATATGATATGAGACAATAATAGAGGGATATCCAAAAATGAAAAAATGGAACAATTATAGAGAGACGGAGGGAGTACTAGTTTTTTTAGTTCCATCTTTCATTACAAACAATATTTATATATCACACATACAAAAATTCCAACGGCTCTAATTTTACGGCGACTTTCTGGTGAGTTTCTGATTATTTTCAAACAAAAAGAAAATAATGAAGATGATGGTGGTGATGATGATGGGAGATGATAGTGAAGATGGAGTCTGAATAAAAGATAAAAAGAAAGAAAAAAGGAGAAGGAAAGGGAAAGAAGAAGAAGATGATGGAGGAGGAAGAAGAAAGAAGAAACAATGGCACAAATATGACTTGTAGAGTTTGAAGAGACAAAAATATGACCAATTTTGACATTGACAAAAACTGACCTGTTTAAAATTAAAAAATTAATTTCGCTCGACGCTCTATGTCCTCTACGCTACCATCTCCTTCGAGAATGAGCTGCGAGCCTGCGATGAAGATGGAATCCTCTGCGCTACCATCTCCTTCGAGAATGAGCTGCGAGCCTGCGACGAAGATGGCGGTCGGCATCCTTCTTCTTCACGAAGATGATGAGAAATAGGGTTGCAACTCCTCCTTTCTTCTCTCTGTTTCTCGAGCTTCGAATTCAGACGCGCAAGACCTCTGCAACTATGGCTAATGAGATCGATGACGACCGATGGCAAACAAGAAGACTGGTCACTGGCCTTTGCTGGCGCCCAAGGTTGTTGTCACAGGCTCACAACTCTGTTGCGCGGGAGATGTGGACAGATCTGAGATTGGGCTGGAGCTCTTGGGTGAGCTAGGGTGTAGCTGGCGGCGGTGTGGGTGGGGTGATGTAGGGGCGGGTGTACTGGTTTAGCTAGGTGGGATAGAGGTGCTATGAAGGTTGGAAATTAGAGCAGGGGCTTGGATGCGGCTTTGTTGGGTGGGACATTTCTTGATGAGGGTAGGTTGTGGCTAGGGAGGGGGGGGGGGGGGGGGGCTAAGTAGTTGTGGGGGTGGGGGAGAGTCGGGGTAGGGGCAGTAGGTGTCCCATCCATAGCGGTGGCGGGTGGCGGTTTCACTGAACGGACAGTCATCGGAAAAAGTCGTCGGAAAAGTCGTCGGAAAATTCCCGACGACATAGTGACATGGTTAACTGGACAGTGACACGTTTGATGGTGATACTGACATATGAAAGTGACTTGAAAGCCGACAGTGACATTCAATAGTTACATAAAATCACAGTGACATAAACTCGACAGTGACATAACGTTAGACAGTGACATCTGTTAGTCACATTTTTGTCCTTTTAGAAAAATGATCACTTTTTAGAAATTTGGCTTTAATTTAGTAATATTGAAGGGATGATTTTGTCACCCTATTTAGTAAATCAGGGTGTACCTCTATCATTTTGTTAGTATTTAGTATGACACAAACAACATATATGGATGACACAAACAAAGATTTCATCGGATATTCATATGACTTTTCATCGATTTTCGGGCGACTCTTAAATTTCATTTGGGTTTTTTTCGGTGACATTTCTTGATGATTTTAACTCCGGTAAGACGCAAGATGATGAAGTAGATAAGAAAGAAGATGAGACGAAGATGAAGGTGATGAAGATGGAGAATGACTTAAGAAATAGATATGCAGGGTGACTCAAAAATAAAAATGAATAAGACCGGAAATGGTGAAAAACAAAGATGGAAGAAGATAACGGTATGAACCAAAAAAGAAGGAGAGAGTTTTGGAATAAAAAATGATACCCGAGTATATGAAAGGATGTACCAATAGCAAAATTCAAGAAAAAGTTAAAGAAAGTGAAAGAAGAGATCTTTTTCTTTAATTTCTTTCGCCATTTGGTTTCCCTAGCCACCCGGTTAAATATCAAGCCGTTGGACTGACCAATTACCAAAGCAATCGAAGCCGCGTGTTTGGAAATGCAAGGGAGCCAGCAGAATACACACTTTCAATTCAATGCATGCCCTTCTCTTTTCTTTTCAGATCTCACATCTTCACACATGCTCACCCATCCATCGCTTTTTTCAGAAAGCAGAGTAAATCATTCAATTCTGTATATGATATATAAGTGTATTCTCAGCGACGAATGACTCTTTAGAAGTTGACCACAAGTGTTAATACTATTGGAAGCTTAGTTTTATATATTTTGCTGGATGTGTGGATTGGTTTGAAGTACGATGATGGTGGCGGATGAGAGTGCTATGCATCTGTCACCGGAGAAATTGCCGGAGTCCGGTGGTGGAGAAACAGCAACCTCGGATGTTCCGGGTGACATAGGTTTCGATATGGAAATGCTTTGGAGCTCGGTTCCGGAGGAAGATTCTGCATTAGAACAGGTATGCTTACTTTGCCTGCTTAGTAAGTTTGATCATTACTTGTGTTCATGTCTATATCGCATTTGTAGTATTCTTGGCACATAAAGGGTATTATTAGATTCAATCTGTAGGGTCTTCATATACGTGTGCAATTCATGAAAATTGTGGAACATCAACTTAATGCTAAAGAATACCGAATCTGATAGCATACAGGTATTCTCATCAGGCTTGTATACATTTGTATCATGTTAATGCTCCATTGAAGAAGAAAATATTGAGTTAGTTTGTAGGTTCCAGGTCTCAGACTCCAACTTGGTCACATTTAACAAAACAAGGAATATGTGGTCCCCTCCCTCAAAGGAAAAAACATGTTTTTGGGATGCATAAAGGGGATTCACTACCTACTGTTTTCTCGGAATGCAAAACTTCTAAGGTTCTGCTTGAAAACTTCAATACTGGTGTAACTTGAGATGTGGAGGATTTAGACAGACAACTCACCATGATGCGGCTAATTTAAGTCGTAAAAAGAATGATTCTAGTTATGCACAAATTCATTTTTTTAATGAAATGTGTGCTTCAGTGTTAATAATAAATACTCCGTACAATTTGGGTACTATATACTTCGTGTTTTGATAAATACGCGGTGAATCATGAACAATCTACTCATCCTTTTTTGTCCATAAAAGCCAAATTATCCATGACCAAAGCTTTCACTTATTCCAAATCCATCAATTTTCATATTACGTCCTACATGCAGAGATGATTAAGCCATGATATAATGAAATTTTAGGAGGCGTATTTGCCAACAGATATTAAACCATTAATAAATAGGATAAGTCCATTGTGTCCGGTAGATTAAGATGCACTTATAAGGTGTGACTCAATAAACATAACAACGGATGGAATCCAGGATCACTACTCATCCTTATGATACAATTAGATGTGATCCATTATTATTAACTTTTTAATGGATGTGTCATATATTCATATCGATTTACATTTGGACGGGCTGGATTGATGGTAGACAAATAGACTCTTTTGCCACCCACCTTTTCTTATAATAGCAGTTAGCTGCTTTACTCTGCCCCTTTTTTTCTGTTGTGCGATAACTTGTATTATTCTCTGGTGCTGCATCTTTTATTATTGAATATCTGAATTTTAATTTCAGGCGGTGCCACAGGACCTGTCACAGAATTTCATGCAACATGGTATGTCAGCTGCAGTATATCTAAGTTCTTCCATTATTCCATTATCCTCTTGCAGTGTGTATGTTATGCATGACTTTGTTGTTGTTGTGGTCTTCATTTTGACCCTTTTTTCACTTTATCTCGGTGTAACTCTGAGCCTTCAGATTCTCGGGCTGATGTTTTGGATAATCCACATTGCTCGATAGGAGAGATCTGTAATCTTAAGCTCCCCGATGCATAGTTGCAATGGGAGACTGACTGAGTGCATTCCGATTCTAGGCCATGGTCAGTTCAGTTTAGATAACAATAAAGCTTCTCATGGTGCTACATGTTATATCCATAGTGACAGTAAGGAACCCTTTTGTGGGATACATTAAATTTTCAAGTACTTCAAATCAAATTGATGATAATCATAATAAGTCAATAGTTTAGATTCTAATTGAATGTGTCAAAATAGATTATATCTTTAGGCTTGCTAATTTTAAATTGTATGTTGAATCTCTTGGGGCTTCTCTCATTCATTACTCTCAAATCATAATTAGTGATGATTCATGCTTGGATTTATTTACTTTTTTATGGAATGATAGGTGACTCAGTTTTTACTCTGTTATTTTAGGGTTTTCTCATGGCTACATGATAGCCGAAAGTAACATGAAAGCGTCAGTAACTTCTAATATACTGGAATTAGGAATGCCCCTTTTTGATGGATTTCATTCTCAGTGCAGTTCGATGCAGTATTCTGATTCTCTAGATAATATGTTCATGTCTTCATACATATTGTCACCAGATAGCCCACCCTTTCCTTTTTCTAGTGAGCTGAATTTAGAGATTGGGTCTTGCTATGATGATCATTCGCTCAGTGTAAAAAGTGAAGAATGTCAGCCTTCAACTTGGTATACTAACTTAGCCAGCATTCTTGATGATGAAGATTTGATTCAGAGAACATATGACGTGCCTCAAGATGGTGCATACATAAGTACGAGAATAGAGACTAATTTTAAGCCAGCCTCTGAGGCTTGGACAGACACTCCATATTTGTTCTCCGGAATCTCTGCAAAGCAAGAAGCATGTGCAGATGACAGACCAGATTTTAGCATTGACATGAAACCATTTAATAAGGATGGCACTGTCACTTCAAATGAACCACTAAATCCCTCTTGTTTGCTTCTGCCACCTTCCAACTCAAGCAGAACTCATTTGGTTTATAGAACGGATGACTGTGAATGCACATCACATGAATCTGGGGATCCTGACAATTATTCTGATCTGTTTCACACCTCTACTATGGAAAAGCCCCATCTGTATAATAATGACCGCACTCTGAGTGGTAATTTTGGAGACAGATGTGATCCGGTTCCATCAACATTAAATAAACAGGAGTTAGAATGTGCTAAACCAGAGAACATACATGGTTTGCAAAAATCTACCAACTTGTCTTTGTTACCAACCACCTACCAATCAGCTCAAAGCTCATTTGCTCAAAGAACTTCTGCTGCTAGTGATGATGGCGATAACTGCATTCAGGAGGATGTAAGTGGACCAACCAGACCAATTTCAAGTGTGTCTAATGGCAAGTCTCATGTTAACATGCAGTATCCTACAATTAGCGAACCTTCAACTCATGCCAGGGTAGGACACAAGAGGTTCAAGCCAAATAAGGAGCAATTTGTTTTTCGAACTGCCTTACTGGTGCGTATTCCTGTAATCATGTTTTAACTCTCTGATTCTCTTATACTTTTGCAGTCGCATTCACAATAAGGTGCAAATGAAGTATCCATTTTGGAAAATGTCATTTGGATGTTAGGACATTTTAGTGTGCAAGAATCCATACTTCATGTATGGATGCATATCATTGCACAATGAAATGCTGCCTTCTAACCATCATGCTTGATCTGTGCATAAGCTGTACTCCCTCTGCCCCCAAATTAGCTTCCCGTGTGCTTTTGAGTTTTGACAGGCTTCTTAAGAAAATTGAATTACGTTGTTAAGATTGAAATGATAGAAACATTATCAATTACACATTTTTTCTTTCGTTAAGTACTTGGATAGATAATTCTGCGGTGGATGAAATAGGAAAGTGAGAATAGTGAGATGTTCTTGAGGGACAGAGGTAGTACCCCATTTTATTTTTGCCTGTGTAGAAGCTTGGATGAAATGGCTCACTAAACTGTCTGCGCTTCTTTGTTATGAAGCAGCAGTCAGTCAATGCAATTTTGGACGGGATTTTCACTATGGGTCATCCGGAAACAGTCTCTCTGGGCTTTAGTACAGGGGTAAGACTGCGTACATCCGACCCCCCTTACCCCACCGTAGGCGGGAGCCTTTGCGGCACTGGGGTAAATGAAAATGATGATGATAGAAGCTTGGGCTAGTTTCATTTCATTTTACTTGAACATCTGTCTACATCTTCTGCAGGACCTTTCCCAGCCAAGATCTGAAGATGAACCCCCAGATGGTGTTCTGGCTGTTCCTCTTTTGCGACACCAGGTTCAGTGACTTTATTTTAGTTGCATGATGATAATGGTTGGCAAAAAGCTGTTATTCTCAACTCTAAGCCTTTTCCATACTAAAACACTGTCTTTGCTCCTTTGAACCATGTATGAGATGTTTAAACAAGTTGTGGTTGTGAGAAAGCCAATCATTCATTATGTAAACAAGCAGAAAATGAGATGCTTTTTGGTTGACAGTCATATGAGAAAATGCAGCCATGCTAACATGTTCAATTGGCAACCAAATGGCACAGATCCAGCTAGACAATAGTCAAATTCATATTCAGTAGAAAATATGATAAAAGATACCTCTATTTCTGTGAATTCTAAGTCATTCTAACATACATTCATGTTCATCATCTTCTTCATTCTTGTTGCTGCTATGTTTGAATAATAAATTGATACTACTCATTTCGTGCAATATAGTTGGGATTAAGGTGGTGGCGGTGATGATGATCTGCTAATCACACAGCTACCATCAGAAAAGTCTTATTTTCACTCACCCGGTCAACCAATAAGCTACACAATATTGCCAACTATGAAGTTATATGACTATAATCTGTACAAGAGGAACTTAGCAATCCTAGATTCCTAGTTCTGATGCATCAGTGTGCCAGCGTGCATATCTTATTTCTGTATATTTCATTTGCTCTATAGTTTGCACTTTCTCTATTAACTATTGTTTCTTCTTCCCTAAATAGATAACTGGGAAGGATGTCTCCACTTTGTTCTTGACATTGTATGCTGAATGTAATTTTGAAATTTTAAATGTTCATGCTATGAGCAGCGGATTGCTCTATCATGGATGGTCAAGAGGGAAACCAACCCACGCTGTTCTGGTGGGATTCTTGCAGATGATCAGGTGTCTTTTGGCAGATCGATCACATATGCTGTCCATCAAATTGTTGAAATATGAAATAGAGCTCTATTAACTATTTTATTTTTATTTTTAGGGGCTTGGTAAAACGATATCAACTATTGCTCTTATACTCAAAGAAAGGTCTCCATCTCTTTGGGCCTCTGCTGCCATTACAAAACCAACTGAGGCGGAGATGCTGAATTTGGACGACGATGATGATGTTACTACAAGTTCTTCTGAGGCTACTATGTCAATTAAAAACCCACATGTAGTGAACACATGCTCTGCCCCAGTTGCTAAACCATTTATACATACAAAAGGTAGGGCAGCTGCTGGCACCCTTATTGTATGCCCAACAAGTGTCCTGCGGCAATGGTCTGATGAGTTGCATCATAAGGTAGCCAACATAGCTAATCTTACGGTTCTAGTATACCATGGATGCAATAGAACAAAAGACCCTTTTGAACTAGCAAACTATGATGTTGTTCTTACAACATATTCAATTGTAAGTATGGAAGTTCCTAAACAACCTCTTGATGATGAGGATGATGATGACAGACGAAAGCATACCCCAGATTCAATAAATGGTTCATCTTTTAAAAAGAGGAAACGCCCTCAAAGCTCTGAAAAGAAATCATCAAAGGACAAGAAAGGAACATATGGTGAGTTGATTGATAATCTTGCTCGCCCCCTTGGCCGGGTTGCTTGGTTTAGGGTTGTATTAGATGAGGCTCAAAGCATAAAAAATTATAAAACTCAAGTGGCAAGAGCTTGTTGGGGTCTACGGGCTAAACGTAGGTGGTGTCTATCCGGTACGCCCATTCAAAATGCAATTGATGACCTATATAGCTACTTCAGATTTCTTAGATTTGAGCCATATTCTTCATATAAACAATTTTGCTCTTCACTCAAAGTGCCCATTCAAAGAAATCCATCAAGGGGGTACATAAAACTTCAAGCGGTGCTTAAAGCTGTGATGCTACGTCGAACTAAAGGTAACCATGGATATCTTTTTATTATTCATCAAACTTATGAGATGTTTCTTTATACTGAATTGTATTGGAACCGTTTCAAAATTGTTCATTGTCCTAGATACCTTTCAATGTAACTTCTTTGATAGCTTACGTTTCTACCCGCCTATCCCCCAATTCACCCCTTACTGATTGTGGTTGTTAGAAGAATCTTGGTACCGTGGTATAGTTGTTGTCTAGTGACCTCAAAGTCATGGGTCCGAGACGCGGGAATAGTCTCAGCCTCTCAGGTAAGGCTGTCTATGTTAATGTCCCAGGCCTTCTTCGGACCCTGTACATGCCGGAGCTCTTGTGCCACATTGCCTTCAAAAAAATAATTGTGTTCTTCCCATAAAAACTTAAATTCGTAGTCACGGGTTTTTTCAATGTATTTTAATTGTATCCCTCTTCAATTGGTAGTGAAGGTGCTTGCAAAATTAACATGAGATTTAAGAAGGGAAAATATGGAAATATTTAATTCATTTTTGGGTACAGTAGTTTCTTAAATCCATTTCATTGCTCTATAATTTTTTTGATCAGTGAACTACAAACGAGTATATATTTACAATTAACCCCTGTTTGTCTTCCTTTGACTATGTACTTGACAAGCCAAGTGTCTTACTGTGACAATTTACATTGTCTTTGACTATTATCATCTTTTAACCAATGGAACTCTTTTACTTTCTCATATAAAAATAAATGGTTAATCTGTTAGTTTGGCCTTGATATAGTCTTCTTATCTTTCATCATGGATCGATCTATTTCGATGCCAGTATATAACACTGATTTTGAATAACGTGCCATCTACATCTGCATTTTAGAGGGGAAGAAGTTTCATTCACTATATTTTACAGCAGGGTTTGTTTAACTGAAGTGTTAGTCTCCAGTATGATGCTTGAGTGTCTGATGTAATGTGTTGGTAATAATGCAATATCTTATACAGGAACATATATTGATGGAGAGCCAGTTATCACCCTTCCGCCTAAGAGAATAGAGTTGAAAAAGGTTGAATTTACACAATGGGAGAGGGATTTTTATTGCAGACTTGAGGCTGAGTCACGTGCACAATTTGCAGTATGTTAATATAATCTCCTATGTTGTATACTTGTATTTATATATATGTTTAGATTATTTATTCTGCTGGGTTCTGATATTTTCAACCTCTGGGTTTTTGCATCATGCTAGAAATATGCAGCTGCTGGAACGGTAAAGCAGAATTATGTTAACATATTGCTGATGCTTCTGCGTCTCCGTCAAGCTTGTGACCACCCTTATCTTGTTGAGAGATCCAATAAGAGTTCAGTTTGGAGAACCTCACTTGAAATGGTGAAGAAACTATCCCAAGAAAAACGATATTCACTTCTGACTTGTTTGGAGGCTTCTTTAGCAATTTGTAGCATATGCAGTGTAAGTGATCATATACATTTCTTTCATTCATTTTTTGCTCTCTTTTTAAATTTCATATTTTCATAGTTCTATTATGAGGAATTTGGTAGGACTGGTAGGTTATCTCTATTAAAAGTATGACACTACCGCTATATTTGTAAGATGTGTAGAATTTGGGCTCTGTCTGCTAGTGTGCTGGAGTGATGGTATCATTGAATTTGCGATCTTGAAATCTTTTCGTGAGTTTTTTGCATTTGGTATGCCTATTTTATTTGAATAACGGTGATACAATAGAAGGGAGCCTTGACGCACCAGTTACGGTGTTGCCCTGTGATTGAGACTTGAGAGGTCACGAGCTCAAGTCTTGAGAGTGGCCTCTTATCAAAATGACTAGGGAAGGCTTGCCCCTATACGCCCTTGTGGCGAGACCCTTTCCCAAACCCTCGCCTTGCGGAGATTCCAATGTGCAAAGGGCCACCTGCATGGTTTTAAATTGCAGTTGCGGTCATTGCGGTTGTGGCTAATGCGGCCGCTGCGATGCTTATTGCGGCGTTTAATATTTTCAAATTTGCACAAAATAGGATTAAAATGATTTTTTGCATTCTTTAACAAATCTTCTATATAAGCATTATTTGTATCCTTTTTATTTTATCATTTTTATGTATATTCATCTCTTTTTATATTATCGTTTTATAATAGCTTATCTTTTTTATCTTTATTTCCTTTCTTTTCCTTTTGGTGGTGATATCATGTATCTATTCATGTTATCCGACCCCAATATCTTTTGGGACTAAGACTTTGATGTTGTTGTTGTTTAACAAATCTTCTATATATTAATTATATTTAATTATTTAAATTAATGGTTGATAAACATGAGAGTTCACGAAATATGAGTAAAAATGTTTTGAAATTAAATAACAAGTTTGCCGTTTTTTATTCCCTGAACAGAGTAATTATTGTCAAACATAGAAATTATTGTCACAGAGTTTGGCCTCTCTCCTGTGCACAAACCTCAACCACACAGTTTTTACTTTATTATTCTTCGTGCCGGTCAACTTTGGCAAAGTTTTAAGGGACGGAGGTAGTATATTTTTCACTCTGTCCCTTAGATACCAGTTCTTTATATCCGCAACTGAAACATATTTTGTAATCTCTTAATATCCATAATAAGTCTTATTTTATAGCCATAAACCTTTTTAGGGGGTGTTTGTATCTGATTCTTAAAACTGCTTCTGCTCCTTCAGGGAGCAGAAGCAGAAGTTGGAGTGTTTGGGTGAAAATGAAGAAATGATTCTGGTGCTCTAATTTACTCCTAGAATTAGTTTTTTTAGAAGCTGTACCAGCTTCTGAAAACTGATTCTGCTTCTGCTTTAAAAAAGAAGCAGAAGCAGAATCAGTTCCAAACACCCCCTTAAGTTATTAATTACTTAGAATAATAATTTTAAATTTAATTAGAGTGGATTAAATTTAAATTTTAAATTTAATTAATTATAGATGTATATTTTATAAATTTTAATGGTCATGAAGTTATTTAAGTAATTTATTATTAAGGGTGGATTAAAAGAATTTTAAATACGGAGTATAACTTAATATAGATATATGTTTTATAAATATTACATATGAGCTTTGATTCTAAGATCTTACGAGTTACGATCCCCGAGTTACGATCTACCAGTCCTCATCCGATCCGTGCTAGGATCTCGAGTTTAACAACCTTCGGTATAATTATACCAAAACATGACAATAGTGTGTACAATAATTACTCCTATTTAGAGACAATAATACAAACATCTCAAACGTTTGTACTTTAATTCATTTTAGGGTAATTTCTCCTGATAAAATTAATCAAGGCTAACTAGACAACTAAACAAGGACTAACTGCATTACAAATAATCGAGGCTGTGAAACATTAAATAATGTGTACGCAGGCTGCCTAGGCATAACCGTGTAAGTTACACGCTTACCAAATCAAACATTAAAATAAAGTGCACAATGTCGATGCAGAAGGGATGAAGTTATTCCCAATCTTAGGATGTTTTCTTTTGGATTTTTTCCAATCCCAGACCAGATCAAACCAGACCAGGCTTAAACAGACCATATTAGATTTAAATAGATCAGACCAGACCAAACTAGACTTAAAAAGATCATACCAGACATTTAACAGATCAGGCCAGTTCAGACCAAACTTAAACAGACCAGACTAGATCAGACAAACCAATAAATTTTAGTTCAAAAGAAAACATCCTTATGCACGACACCGGAAATTTGGACAACCCAATAAACACCCACACGATCGGAAAAGTTGACGGTATCAAGCTAGGCAATGATGCTGGTGATGTGGCCCTGTTGCGGCCGGATGCAGCCCGTTGCGGCCCTGTTGCGCTTTAATTGCGGTTAGGTTGCGGGTTTGCTCTGAATCGAATTCCCGCCGGTATGGGGTGCTGATGCAGTTGCGCCGTCACCCGCGACCTCAATATTGCTATTTAGAACCATTCATGTCCCTTGTCAAAATGACTAGGGAAGGCTTTGCCCCTATACATTCTTGTGGTGGGACCCTTCCCTGAGTCCTCGCCTTGCGGGAATTCTAATGTGCATAGGGCTGCCTTTTTTAATGGTGATACAATAGGAACTGACATCACATTTTTATACTCTTTTCCTGTTAACTTCATGGAAAACAAAATCCAAAATAAAATAAAATTGTTTGAATAATGATGTATATTGATGAGAACTGCACTGACAATCCTATAGGATCCACCTGAAGATGCCGTTGTGACAGTCTGTGGACATGTCTTTTGCAACCAGTGCATTTGTGAGCATTTAACCGGTGACAACACTCATTGTCCTACAACAGATTGCAATACTGAACTGAGTGTTTCTTCACTATTCTCCAAAACTATGTTAATGGGTTCTGCATCTGATCAGCACAGTCATTCAAACAGTACTACTGATAACACCGACTCAGATCCAGGCCAAACACCTCAGCTCTATTCTTTTGGCTGCTCATATGATTCATCGAAAATTAAGGCTGTTCTTGGGGTTCTCCAGTCTTTGTCTAAACCACAGGATTGCCCCACCATGCTCAACTCCACTGATCATGAAGAAGATGAAGGGAGTCGTAATCAAACAAGTAAAATAGCTGGAGAGAAAGCGCTTGTATTTTCCCAGTGGACAGGAATGTTAGATTTGCTTGAAGATTGTTTGAAAAGGTCATCTATCCAGTACAGGAGGCTGGATGGAACTATGTCTGTTGTTGCTAGAGATAAAGCTGTAAAAGATTTCAAAACAGTTCCAGAGGTTTGTTTGTGCATTCTTCTTCATCTTCTTGTGAGGAAGAGCCTATCCGCATAACTCGTTATACATGTTTTTCTCATCAGGGCCCCTTTCATTTAAGCACTCGAAGTGTTTTCTGTTTCTCTGAAAAGCACCAATCTGTTGCTTTCTTAAGCAGGAAATTAAACATGGGGTTTTACTGTTAAAATTGCATTCTTTTGTCATTATCCTGCCAACTGAGTTTCCTTATTCCTTGAAAATATGTCATCTCTAATGAGTTGTAAGAGTGAAAATGAATATTTTAAGCAGGTTTCTGTGATGATTATGTCTCTAAAAGCAGCAAGCCTGGGACTGAACATGGTTGCCGCCTGCCACGTCATCCTCCTAGACCTGTGGTGGAACCCAACAACCGAAGATCAAGCCATTGACAGAGCACATAGGATCGGACAGAGTCGTTCTGTCACAGTTTTGCGGTTGACTGTAAAGGATACTGTTGAAGACCGTATTTTGGCTCTTCAGGTATGTCTTCTTGTGCTTACAATTTCTTAGGGTTAGTTTGGATGGATAATATTCTTATAGAGCTAGCCTCTTTAGTTCTATCATGATATAAAGAGAATGTTACCATAAATGAATAAAATGTCCTTCAAATTTGATACGAACCCATATTCTGATACAACAAGATTGACTAACCGGCTAAGCCTTTCCCACCAAAACAGTCCACCTAAAAATATGCTCAGGTTCTCTGTTTTAATGGAGGGCTGAGTTTATATCATCTATTATTTTATTATCTATATCAAAACATCTTTTAGAAATTGCTCTAAATAGGAGCAAAAACGTTTTGAAATTCCAAAATAGGAGTATCATGTTTTTTATTCCCTGAATAGGAGTAATCTGCCAAGTTTGGAAAAAAATGCCATGTTTAAATTCTAGTAATGCCAAACTTGGCAGAAATTTACTATTTTGGAATTTCAAAACTTTTTTACTCCTATTTAGGGAATTCCAAAAATGCCATGTTTAAATTCTAGTAATTCCTTGAATAGGAATAAAAAACATGATAGTCCTATTTTGGAATTTCAAAACTTTTTTACTCCTATTTAGGGAATTCTCCTATAATATATGTATGCATGTATGGTTGTATGAGGTGAGAGTACAATTCAAGCAAGGGGGGCCTATAGTAGTGCGGCCAGACCAACTTCAGTCTTGGCCTAAAAACAACTTAACCACTTAAGATTAACTTGTCGCTAGACATGGACTTCCTTTTGTGTATATGTTTTGTGAAAAAGAATCATTGACATGATATAACCCGGTTGAAATTAATACTTGGTGCTAATTAGCACAAAGATCTGGATTATTGAATTAACTTTTTCCTAAAACAACGTTCCGGTCAGGAAAGATAACTCTATGAGCCCGTTTGGTAACATTGAAATCGGCTGGATCGGCTGATTCTGCTGAAATTTATGAAGTTTTGGCTGAAGTGGTTGTATTGGCTGATTCTGCTGATTTTTGAAAAAATTAAATCTAGAATATATTTTATTAATAAAATAAAAAAAATTATATGTAAAAATAGCTAAAATGATCCTCTACAGTAACTTCAGCCGATACAGCCAGAAAAGTAACTTCAACCTTACTTTTTCTTATTACTACTCATTTTAGCGCGTGAAATCAAAAGTTATGTGTTTGGTGAAAAAGTTGATTGATAAGTCTGATAAGCTGAAAAACAGGGTTATCAAACGGGCTCTATAATTGTATAGACTTAGCCCTACAATGAAACTGGCTCCCCTTAGATGGGGTGGATGTGGTAGGTCCAGCATGCGTGGATACAATGTTTTGTTTTTCATCTCAGGAAAAGAAGAGGAAAATGGTTGCGTCTGCATTTGGGGAGGATAAGAATGGCAGTCGAGAGACTCGTCTTACTGTGGAGGACTTGGAATACTTATTCTGTCACTAATCCGCTCCTATTTGGGTTTTTAACATTTAAACTTCTTTATTCATCTCATTTGATCCTATAACACCATCTCATTACTACAACTACGACTCATACTGTTGGTTTTTCTAACCCGGAGCGCCCACCAGATTTCGTCAGAGTATATATATATATATAATTATATAAGTGGAAGGTAGTATATATATTATTATTCTGTTTGGTCTGTACCCAAGGACTAACACATTCTTATCCTTCTAACCGTTTTTCATCACATTCTTATAGACCAGAGATGGGGAATGGAAGTTTTGCAGAAAACAGTTTAAGTTGTAGATCCTGATGTATATGGTTAGTCTTTTCTATAGTAGGCTCTAACCCAGCGGTCCACATGTTTCTGTGTAAATTCCGAATTGTGATTGTGGGAACACCCATGGATATGAATCATATGATGCTCATTAATACTTAGTAAAATTTATTATTACAATTATAATTATTGCGGTTGTTATTATCATTATTATTGCGGTGAAATTCATAAGAATAATCCTCACTTTCGGGACATCTAGAATAATAATCCATAAATCCATAATCCACGGTTCATACAAATAATCCGAACTAACAATAATGTTCACTTTCGGGACATCTAGTGTTTGTTTAACGCTCTCAATTCTTACTCTCACTTTCTCCTTCCTTGCTCTTTTTCTCGGGGTGGATTTAGGCATGGATTGGCCCGGCCCGGCCGACCGGGACCAAGATCGGGGGACGGAACCGGGGATAGGGGGCGGGTTACAGGCTGCTGAAAAGGTGGACCGGCCCGGTCAGTTTGAGATCGATTCGGGCCCATTTGTTTTTTAAAAAGTTTCCATTTTAAGGGCTGCTAGGCGGGTGGAGTTGGGTTGTTTGGGGGGGTGGGGGTGGAGTGTTGGGGGGTTGGAATAAATTATAAAAACAAATTTAAAAAAACCTAGACCTGACCCGAGCCCAGCCTGGTTCCGGTACAAACCCGGGCCAGTATTGAGCCTGCAACCCAAAAACCCAGGACCACCCAATCTTCTCCCGGGTCCTTGCCATCCCTAGGTGAATTCAAACTAATATTCATTTAATCTCAACACAATTTTTATCGTATGTGGTTCTCTATAAATTAGAAGATAAAAGTGTTACTCAAGATGAAGGGGAAAGTAGAGTAGGAGTTGAGACTTGAGAGTATTAAACATGTATTAGTTTGTATTTATTCAAACTAATTCTTGTGGACGTCATTGCTAGTTCAGATTAATTTTATGAACACCCTTTGTATGGATTGTTATTATAAAAGCACAAAATTTAGTGACAATTTTTATGAACACCTGGCCTAGTGATTGGGTCACGGGTCAACCCGGTCAACGTCGGGAAAACCTGGTCAACATTTACAATATTTTATAGTAGTAGTACTTAACATATAATAATGTAAATCAAAATAAAAGTTACTAAGTAATTAGTTTTCACAATATTGAAATAATGTTAATACTTAGTAAACAATGAAAAACACACATTATTTTTTAAAATACTTATAATCCTATTTAAGTCTGTAGTGTTACTTGAAATTTATTTTCTAATTTTACACATAATTTTGAAATGATTTCTTTTCTAGAATAAATACGTACTACCTCCGTCCCGGAATTATCTTCTTATTTGATTGGGCATGGATTTTAAGATAGTGAGAAATGTGTGGTGGAGAGTTGTGCAGAGGAAAGAGAAATGTGTAAGAATGATTGTGAACCACAAATTCTTTGTCAAAAAAGAAAAGAGGGGATAAATTTGGGACGGAGCGAAAAGGAAAAAATGAAGATAATTCCGGGACGGAGGGAGTATTCAAATATATCACATACATTTTTATAAAAATAAATACGAACAGAACTACACTTATTTAAAACAATCTTATAAATATTGTGTGGGTATGTTTCTCTTTTATTTGTAATGTTATTTACACTCTAGTAAACTCACCCGTGCGATGCACGGTTCGAGATTTTTTCTTTCAAATTTATGTGTGCTTAGTAATTCAATTTACGTTATCAATTGATTATATCATCTATCTTCATGTAATACATATATACATCAAATAATTAAACGAAACACACTTATAATATTATGGTCAAAATGAGATTACTAAGCATTACTTAAAAGATCAAAAAATCCAACAAATACGTTTTCACCCGAAAAATTGTAAATATGCATTGAAATCGATGTGCTCACAATACTAAAGCATTACTTCCGGCTACTTCTTATTGACCTCTATCCATGCGGTGAACATACTGTCCTTAACTGAACATGCCCGAACCACTGAATCTAGAGGCTGATCATCACGAAAGACAACACTTTGTGCTTCCGGCCAATGGAAGCTCAAAGGTTCAACTGCCGGGGTCTTATATTGAATTTCAAACCCAAATATGTGCCAAGCAGCCTCGCACACAGAAATGTATCTACACTCATAGTACATCTGTATCTCATCGACTGATCGTGCATCACACGGTTAACGTTTGAAGTTGTTAATAGGAAGGCTTAGGAATCAAAACATGTTAGCTCGCACTAACTTATGTCAGAATGATTTGTTTTAGTAAAATGTTTTGCTAGTAATTCACCTTGCGATGCGCAAATGATTTTGCCATCTTTTTTTCATTTTCAAAGGATTATATAAATTAATGACTATGTAATAAGGTGACTATAAATTTACATGAATTGCATTTTTAGACGAATTGTCTCTCTAAATAGGTAAAATAAGGGAGTAAAATATGTGAAAATGTGTTATGTCATTCTTGAATTATACTTAATCTAAATTTGTGGGAAAATGTTCGAATATGTGCTTCTACTATTTGTACTATCCAAGTATGGTCTTGTCTGGTTTGTTTAAGTTTGGTTTGGTCTAAGACTGAAATAAATGTAAGTATAAACATCTCAAGTAATATGGTGACAATGCATCATTCATTCATTCATCATCATTACCCCAGTCCTGCAAAGGCTCCCACCTACGGTGGGGTAAGGGGGGGGGGGGTCGGATGTGTTAGGAAATTGATGTAACGTACCTTGAAAGTACTGCAGCGGAAGTTTAAAATTTTCCCAAACAGATTTTCCCTGATTATGACAAAACAATGAATATAACAATGATAATAGATCTGAGTTAGAACTTACAGATCTTCCAGCCTAGCGGTGATAATCCTTGACCTTAGGTATCCACGTGATTTCTTCTTTCCGAAATAACGGTTAGATCTCCCTAAAAGAAAGGTTAGGAAATCTCTTCGCAGGGAAATAAACTGGTAATACTGAATCTGAAGACTGATCTGTCAATTATGAAGGAGGAGGATGTACTTATACTAGTTCTAAACTAGTTTCACAATCACAATGAAAGTCTTTTTAATTAATGAGTTCTAATCCTGCTAGGACCAATACTCCTAATTAATTAAATAAGTAGATAAAACAAAACAAAATAATAATCTATTATAATGTAATAGCAAAAGGAAACTTGTGGAGGAAGTTACCGCCAAAAGAGTTGCAGTTAAAGGTCGTGTACGTGCGCATCAATGAAATAGTTCATTTCAGCATAAAAGTAATTAAAAGAAGTTTCCTGACAATGTTTATTCCTAAGCTGTAGATGCCTTTTAAAATTCCAATACAGGTTGTTATAGTGTTCGCAATAAAGACTCGAAACATGCAATAATTGAAGTATTTAATTGTTGTTACTTCATTTTCCAAGAACATTTATAAATACGTAGAAGAGGAAGAGTTACTCTTGATAATTTAACGTCTGGCTCAAGAATCAATCTAAAATGTTAAATCTGTCTATAAATATGAGGCTCTCTTCGCTCCTAGCTCATCCAAAATCATGTGGCTATTTCCAAAAGATGTACTACGTACATGAATATATGACATACGAAGCCACTTGGAGATCTAAAGATTATATCTATAATGATCATTGTTGGTGTATTAAAAGGTCAGAAAACAAGTATTATAGTCTTATAGCACCGTTGTTTTTCTTATATGATCAGATGATAAGTATTATTTGTGCTATTAGATATTAAAAGCTTAAGTTTTTTAGATATGAAAATTAAACTGTATTATTGTGTATCCAAAACTCTTCTGTTTATTATACTGTGATATCAACTTCAAAAATATCAAAACTGAGAGTTTCAAAACCATAGAAGAGTAGCACATCATCTATTCAGACAGAGGAAAACTAAATGACATTGTAAATTGTTTTCACATTGTTCGTCAAAGCAAGCTAGCTACAAGAGAAAATGTTTGATTATTATTAACATTTCTTATGTATGTAAGATTTCTCTTATAAGTCTTGAAGTCTAATCTCTTCATATATGATATCTCGATTTCGTTTACAAACATCCATTGTATATCGTTATTGGAAATGAATTTACTCAAATTATGACCAGCTCAACAATTTCAGAAAATGACTAATCCAATATATACGAAGTATGTTGTTAGGAAGTTCTTCGACTCTTTTTCTTGGATAAGGTAATATTTCATAAGAATTTCCAATGGACTTACTTAGTAGTAAGTCTGATTCAAGAAAGTTAATTAAAAAAAGAATCAATCTGTCTTAAACCAACCAAATGACATAATTTCTCCTTCCTATAAAACTTGGTCACATATATACACCTTTCTTAATCAATGATGATCAAGTTTGACCATATCTTTTAATACGAAATTATTTCATATAAATGGAAATCATATGAAAATTTACTTTGTTAAAAGTATTTTCATAAATGTATAAAAATTATAGATTTCACATAACTAAATAAGTAAATCATTATGAATTTACTTATTTATTTGATGGGATATATAAATACCGTGATATGACCAAAACTAATCAAGTTTCCGAAAATATGACCAGAGTTGTTTTTGGTCGTGCGTATGACTAAAAGAAATTAAGAATTTTTAACTGGTTGAAAATGACTGCATTGATGGACAAAAAAACCCTCCTAAATAAATGTACTTCTTCCGTGCGGTATCGGTGTGACCTATTATGCATATAGTATAAGTATTGGTTTTATTATTGCGATATGATTTATGATTTTTAATGTCAACCCATGTACCATACGTAATCAAGGTTGCATGTTATTCCCTTACAGAGTTGAATGGTTACATTAAATCAAGGAATTTGACAGTAGAGTAGCATAACGGCAGACGTAAAAGTAGAAAATGCATATTTCTAATGTGAACACTAACACACCTTTATATAAAAAATGGCTACATTAAAATGACTAGTTATGACTAAAATACCTTTATTTAAAAATGTGTATTTTATATTATTTTTGTCCAATTAAAAGTATTTTATACTGAAGTTACTTCACAACATTACTGCATGACATTACTTCACTTTCGGTAACATATCATTGCACTTCCACCAACATTAGTTCTCTTCTCATTCACTTTAGGAATTTATTTATTGTTCTTTTTTTAAGTTTTTTAAAATTTAATAATTTCAGTATTTTACATCTAATTAATTATATTGCATTTCACACAGAT